CACTTGCTACTATTTTTTGTCAGTCCTTGAAATGTGAGCAGGTACCAGAGGATTGGAGGTTAGCTAATTTAACTACTCTTTTTGAGTGAGTTAATAAAAATTGTCCCAGTAATTGTAGGCCTATTAGTCTTATATTAGTTGTGGAAAAAGTTTTGGAAAGTCTAGTAAAAGATGCTTTGCAAAGCCATTAATCAAAGTTTAGAAGATAGCAGAGTGTTGTTACGAATGAAGTTCAGTTAAACTGGATTAAAGTGGGGTACCTCAGGGCTCACTCGTAGGACCTTTGCTCTTTTTGATATACATCAGTGACATAGATGAAGGAATGGTCAATAAATTACTTAAATTTACTGATGATATTAAAGTTTTGGGTGTTGCTAGCTGTGAAGAGGATGCTGCTGCTTTACAAAAGGATTTAAATCATTTAGTGAGTTGGCCAAATAAATGGCAGATGAGTTTTATTTTTAATAAATGCAAGATAATGCATGTCTGTTATCATAATTTGAATTATAAATATAATTTGAATGGAAATAACCTTAATAATGTCATATAAAAGGGATATTGGTGTAATGGTTGATCAGTCTCTTAAACCATCCAAGGAGTGTGCTGTTGCTAGTGGTAAGGCAAAAAGATTTTAAATTGTATCTACAGAAATATTGAATACAAGTGTAAAGAGGTTATAATTTCATTGTATAGGTCACTGGTTAGGCCACATTTGAAGTATTGCAATCAGTCATGGGCTCCGTATCTTAGGAAGGGCATTGAATAGTTGGAAAGGGTTCAGAGGAGGGTTACTAGAATGGTGCCTGGGATGGAGGGTTTGTCATAAGAAGGAAGATTATGATCTTTTAAACTGTTTTCTCTTGAAAAAAGAAGAGTTAGAGAGGATCTGATTGAGGTGTTTAAGATTGTAAAGGAACTTGATAGTGTTGATGTATCTTTTTTTATATTTAATGGCAAGAATAGTAGGACTAAGGAACACAAATATAAATTTCAACAAGATTGGGGTCATCTTCAGCTAAGACAGTTTTATTTTTCTAACATGGTGGTTGGCCTCTGGAATGGATTGCCTTCGGATGTTGTGGAGGCAGTAAATTTGAGTGAGTTTAAAAGAAAGCTTGATAATTGTATGAATGATAAAGGCTGGCTTTAAGATTTTTTTTTATAATAGTTTAGAAGATGGGACAACTGAGATTACCAACAGGTCCCTTGTTGTCCCTAAACATTCTCATGTTATATATGTTATTTATGACCCTTTGATTGGTGTTCAGGGAGAATAAAACAATGAGCAAAACTGCACTTTGAATTGAATTTTGTACCAGTTATTGTTATGGTGTATAACCTAGTTTTAAAGTGTTAAATGATAGCAGAGAAATTTTCCAGCAATATCAAATCATGATCTTACACAAGTTTTCATTCATCAGTGGTAATATGATTTATGAATAAAAATTATAAGTGTTATATAATGATTTCCATTAAAAAATGTATGGTTGTCATTTCAGCAAATATTCAAGTCTTTTTTTTTTGTTATGATATTGGTACTTTTCTTTGATAAAAAGTAAATAGAAAATGTAGTAGAGAAATAATATGCATGATGTTGATATAGGAGTAGCATTAGGCCTGTAAAATTGGATTATGGTCCACTTAAAATATATGGATCTTTATGGTATATAACAATTATGTGCAAGATGAACACTCACTTGCACTGGATAGATTAATTCTTGTGCCTTACTTTAACTAGTGTTTAAAAATCTTAGAAGGTTCTGCTGAAACAATCCAGTACTTTGTGGAACTTGATAATTAATCAGGTTCATCAATTAAATACATTCAAATATTTGGTTATTCTTGCATGAGGCAACCTTGAATTAATTTAAAATAAAAATGAGGAATCATAATGCAATATTTTAATTACTTGGATTGTTATAATTGTCTAAAAGGGGTAATAATAAGAAATATATTTTGGTTAGCTGAATATTTTCATGATATTAATCGATATAATCATAATTTAAATTAATCAAATCATTTGTATTAATTGATATAATCAATGCTCATAGATAGTCATTTAATCAAGTTAATTGCCCAGCTCCATACTCCAGAAATAATTATTTTAAGGTGAGTAGTCTAAAAGGCTTATGTATAGTTTTCTGTGTTATAAATTAATCAGTAACTATGTATACTAGCTTTTATTATATGAACATTTGAATTTATTATCTGTAATATGAGACTTTGAATCAAACACCAAATCTGCAGGAGAAAATAATAATATATGAATATCAAAACAATATTAATATGTAAAATTAGGTCTGTTTTGTCTTATTGTTTTCATCATGTCACTATTCCGAAAATAGAATTTTGACAACAAAAAAATTAATTTGGTAAAAGGATACCTCTTAGTTTGTTTCTTTTTATTAATTGCTCTTGTTTTCTCTCCATCTGGTACCCTGGTTAATGGTATTCAGACTGCAATGTCTTGAGTATGTCTAGGTGAGGAAACATTCTCTCCAAAAAACATATGTTCTAAAGCAGTTCTTTTTCACACTGTTGTCTTAATAATGTCAGTATTTGTTAGTTTAGTATGTCTTATATTACAACAATTTTAAGAAGTTGTTATTTATCAGCTATTCGTTACTTCAAACATAAATTTAAGCAGAAGCATGTAATATACTTGTATTGTAAATTTATACATTTCCTTCCTAAATGATCATCCAGCCGATAGTTTCTAGAAGTTCATTTTATAAATTAAAAAAAGTAACCAACTAATTTTATGATAAACTTGTAGTTTTAGAGGTAGGCCAGGATTTCGTGGAAGAGGAGGATCATCTGGACGCAGTGGTTTTCCACGTAGAGGCAGACCTCGTGGGGGGTCATCTATGGTTCGAGGTCAACCATTTAGAGGATCTCCTCAAGGTAGAGGCGCATACAGGAGTAGTCTTCCCACAGGAGGTAATTAGAACTTGCATTTTTCTTTTCTAATAGTTTTTAATTGTAAATATACTCAGTAGAATTGAAATAACTTTGTGCTTCTTAAGTATATTTAATGTTAAAAATTATTACCCTGAATGTTATATCCATTTAACATACATTTAACAAAGGTTCCAGATCAAAGTTCTCTTTACCTAGAGTACATAACAATCTGTAAGTCTGTTATCACACAGTTTGCTACAGCAGAAACTTTTGACTAGCTTAGCATGACCAAAGCTATGTTCACAGTTGGCATAGCTGGCTGAGAATTTGAGGAAAAGGTTGATATGCTGTTGTCAGCTTTTCACATTTGCTGCCAAATCTTCATTTACTGACTCTTGGGTGTTCAGATACAAAAATTCAGGTTGCTTGCATGGCATATTTTTTAGATGAGTTCAGTGTGATAGAAGCATAGATGTGTTGGCCAAAGGATCTTTTATTTCTTGTTGCAAAACTGGCTTAAATTCTTTAGTAAGGAATTCAACATGCTGGTCTCCATAATACGAGTTTCCCGGTTACACTAAAATCAGGGATTCGATTCCCCTCGGTGGACACAGAAGATAGCCCATTGTGGCTTTGCTGTAAGAAAACACACATATATATACACACACACACACACACACACACACACACACACACACACACACACACACACACCATAATATGAAACTCAAATAGAGATGAAACCATTAAAGTTCAGTATGGTACATCTATAATTAAGTTCACCATGGTACTGATTGACAGTAATCTTAATATTATTTTGCTGTATCGTATATGATTTTGAAATACTTCTTACAAAATCTTTTACTTTGTGTATAATTATCTTTGGGCCATTGTTTTTTTAAATTTCACTTGAATCAAAAATTAGGGATAGCAGTTTGGATTTTAAAAAAATTTCCAAAACAAATGTTAATAAAATGTAGATCAAAATTTAATATCGTATTGATCCTATAAAAACATGAGATAGACAGGCTAGAATGGGTTAAGTATCTTATTAAGGTGGCAGTGTCGCTATTTTGTAAAGTGGAATTATCTATAGCATAGTAAATTGATTTTTAAACCTTTATGCTTTGACATATTTCATTTAATCATGGGATATAGTTAATAGTTATTCCTATGTTTTAGATTAGGAAGAATAGCTAAATTATTGTGTGTGTGTTTTTGTTTATTTGTTCATAATACTGCTTTAGGTTCCACTTTAACTTTGTCAAAGTTATTAATTTTATGTGAATTTGTTTGATAGGACCCTGGGGAGATGGAAGTGAACATAATTATCCAAGTGATGGAGTTCCTGCACCTAAAAGAAGTCGTTGGGATACTCCAAATTCTGGAGAAGAAAAAAATGCTTACAGAAGGTGATGCTTGAACATATTGTCTCAGTTTTATATTCTAAGTGTTTATAGGAAAGTTGTTATTAATGAATAAGCATGTATAGTATTTAATTCTTTGGCATTCATTGGAGTGTACCCGTTGCTTGAGAGCAAAATTATGCCATGAAATTAAAAAAGGATAGAAAAGAAATAAGCCAGTCTTCTGCACATGTATAAAGGCCTGGTAGTTAGGGTGTTCAACTTGCAATCTGTGAATTGGAGGTTTGAATCCCATCACTAAACACACTCACCCTTCAGCATTATAATATGATGGTCAATCCCACTATTTGGTTAGAGTATTCCAGGAGTTGGTGGTGTTGACTAGCTGCCTTCTAGACTATTACTCTAGATTAGGGACAGCTAGCACAAATAAGCCTTAAGTTAATTTGCACAAAATTAAACAAACATAAAAAAAAACCACTTCAGAGTTAAAATATATTCAATTAAGGTTTTTTTATTTGATTTGGTGTATAAACATCTTTAATGTTTTAAGTTTTTATTTTGAGTAGGTTTTAGCATACTCCAAAGGGAAACATTGGTGTTTGTGAATTTCTTTAATTATTTCTGAACATAATATGGCAGTCATAGACTCTTAGAGATTAAATCAAAATAGTGCCAATCTGAACTTTAGATCTTTAAAACAAGTGTAGTTGTATCGTTTTTAGTCAGTCACTGTTTCTCAACCTTGGTTGTCAGGGTGTATGTAATTACCTAAATCAGCTTTCAGAAGGCATTGACTAGCAATCTAAACTATGTAATGAAAGCTCTTTTTCTTTTCTGTTCTTTTCAATTGAACTAGTGCCGATTTGTTTAAGTAATTTTTAAATATGTTTTAATGTCATTGGTGCATTTCTGCGTAACATTAAGTTTTCCCTCTTGATTTGAAAAATATTACTTGAGAATTACTACCCACATCTTTCTTTTTTTATGTGGCAATGGCTTGCATCTAGTTTTTCTTTTACCGCTAAGATCTGTGTGTACTAAACACAGGAACATTACTAATTTTAGCACTTAGTTTAATGCAAGATTTTTTATAACTTGGGTATAAATGTTTGTTGGAAGCCTATAAGCAACTTTAATGTGTCTAGTAAGGCAAACTAGAAAAAAAACTGAGTGGTTATAAAATATATCAGTTCAATCTGTAGTTAATATTAGTTGTGTTCTATGTCAGAGAAAAAATCATCTTTGAAGAACAAAAAATTAAGGAAGTCTTCCATAACAACCATCTGAGAAAACTAAGCATTAAAGTTAGTAGCTCCTAGTTATAACTGCTGAAGCTTGGTATGGCCTGATGGTTAGGGTGCTTGACTTACAGACTGTGGGTTAAGGGATTGAAACCTGCCACTGTACATGCTCACCTTTAGAGCATTATAATGTGATGGTCAATCATACTGCTAGATGGTGAAGAGATGGATGTAGATGATACTGACTTAATGACCCCCCCATCTAGTCTGTCACTCAAAATTAAGGATTTTTATTTCAGCTAGCCCTTTTGAATAATTAGTAATGAAACAAAACATCAAATGAAAAACATAATCACAACATTGAAAGTCATAATTAACAGGCAATGCCTCAGTCCAGTGGATAGCCCTACAACCTTCTGGTTCGAAGGTGGAACCATTTGAATCATACCAACAACCTTTCACAGTATTGCACCCCTTAATGGTGGTGGCAGATTAGCAGCCAAAACAGTGTTAGAGTTAGTTAAAAAAATATATTGTTTAGAAAATTGTTAAAAAGTTAACTAGGTAATTTGATTATTAACCACTATTTAATATTATTGGGTTTATTCTCAAAAATATTGTTAAAAATGAGGGTACCCGAGTGATGAAACAATACATTCTATTCTTTATTAGTCTAAACGTTAGGTTCACTCTAAGTGCATAGCTTACTTTGACCAGAAGTTATTAGTTGAAACGTTGGGTTCACTCTAAGCGCATAGCTTACTTTGACCAGAAGTTATTAGTTGAAACGTTAGGTTCACTCTAAGTGCATAGCTTACTTTGACCAGAAGTTATTAGTCTAAACGTTAGGTTCACTCTAAGTGCATAGCTTACTTTGACCAAAAGTTATCATTATTATTAATCAGTTACCACTACTACCATAAAATCCTTCATGCATAGGATTGAAAAAAAAAAACACTTCTACAATACAGAAACTTCAAAATGTGTAATTACATAAATCGATGATATGCACAGTTTTGGTTGTTAATATAACTGGACAGCATCTTTTAGAGTTTTTATTCCACTTATTTAAATTAAGCAGATAATACAACATTGTTCTAAAATACATGAACATTAAAGTTTTTAGAAGTCATTGCAAGAATTTTAATTATTCATAAATATAATCACATTAGTTAATGAAAAACTTGTTCTTGCACATTTGTGTGTTGGGTATCTTCTAACCAACAGATTAAACCCTCAAATGGTTTGGTGTGTAAATAGTTTAGAAAAAATGTGTTTAGAAAGTCAGTTTAAGGGTGGGGGTGGACCCTATTATTAATCATTTAATGAAAAGATGTTTTTATTTAATACTAACACCATGGCTTATTCTACTCCTAATGTGTACATAAACACATTTACACATTACCTCTTTTTCTTCTTCTGAAAGGTAAGTTGTTTAATGTTTTGAAACTATGTAAAAAAATTTTTACTTAATAGGTTTGGTTTGTCTATTTAATATTAGAAGTTACACTATGGAAAGTAGCATTTGTGGCACCACATCTGCAAGGGGTACAGGTTATCAAGATACTACGGGTTATGGACGATTTGATAAACCAGTATCAGCAGCTGACACTTACATCCCATCAAGTTCTGATGACATGTATGCCTCTTCCAGGAACATGGATCAATACTCTTCCCAAGAACCAAACTATAATAGATTTAGAAGTGGGGCAGAACCACATGAGCTATCACAAAGTACAGACCCTTATTCAAGACCAAGAAATGCTGCTTATGGCACTAGTAGAAATTTTGACCCATATGGAACACAAAAATTTGATAACCCCTACAGTGTATCCCAAGGTTCTGATACTTACAATAGAATGAATGCCGAGGATGACTATGGTGGTGGTCGAACAATTCTTGCTAGTTATAATAGTTCTACCTATTCAGGAGGAAGGACTACCCCTCCAGATATTTATGGTAGGATATATCTTAATTTACTCTTGTTTTTATAAGAATATAAATTTTTATTTTGGTTTCTAATATTTTAATAGGTATTGTAAAGATTAGGTCATATTTGCATTAAATATAAAATTATTTCGATGTCACAAATTTGTTTGTGTGAGTATTTTAGTAATGAAAGAATGAAGATTCAAATTGTTATAAAAACAAAAATACGTATCTTGGATTATAATTTTTTTACTGGGAGTTTGCTACAAACATCTTTGTTTTGTGCATGGGTACCAAAAACGAAGTATGCCAAACCTGGCAATACTATGGTTACAAATTAGGACCAGTTACTAATTTATACAAAATTTGTAGCAGCTAATTTCAAAGTATTGCATGACGTCAAAATAATTTTCCAATACTGATATAAATTTTTCTTTTAAAAAAGTTCAATGGACTCCTAAAAGCAACTTTAATACATTCACTAGGGAGAGGTTGAGTTATCTAGCAAATTACAATGTCTCATAAATTTTGTTTAAGAAGTTATAAAATTAAAAATGCAACAACTTTTTCCAACAATTACATTTTCAAGATAATTCACATATAGATGAAGATAGATTTATTAGTATGGTAAGAGAACTTCAAAGTGTAATATATCCTTCTCAGCTTGTTGACATGCACAGTTGTGCTGATTATAAAATGCCTGCTATTCAATGGTTGGCAGTCAACAGTTTCTTGTAAATTTTGTTAATTTGGACTAATAGCAACTGCTTGTTAAAACTGCAGTGTAATTGATAATAAAACATTTATTTTTAACTAAGATTTTTATCTTTATAGAATTTTTAATCTTGGTTTTAAAAAATTAACCCTCTGGCTACAGGTGTTCCTGTGGTCAAGGGTCAAAGGATTTGTAGACTTTCATTCAAAATTTTATTTAACTACTATTTTATGAATGTATATCAATAAGTTTGGTATCAAACTGTAGATTATAATTCAAATTTTAGTATTATACATTAGTTAATTTTTAATTTAACAGTAAATATTAAAACAAAATTCTCAAATATCAATTTTTTTTGTGTCACATAGTATGTTGAATACAGCTTTGGTTCAAAATATATGTTTGTGATGACCAAATAATACAAAGTATATAGTTTCTTACAAATTAGAAACTCAAATTATCAATATTGACAAGCTAGAATATGAAATAAGAATCCCCTATCTGTTTTATTGCTGAGGTATCACTAATATAGTGAATCAAACATAGTGGCCCTGCCCACTTCTTTCCATTTTTGGAAATGCTTACATACACCTTCTTCTGTCTGTGACATGTAAATAACCAATCAAAAGCTCAGAATGTCCCCTGGTTGTTTTATCGGGCTTTAGAAGGTGGGAAATTCCCAAGATTATTTCTTTATCTTGAATCGCCTAGGATATGGTAAGTAAAAATGTTGTCTAAAAAACTTTTTCTTTACTCAAATACAGTTTAGTAAGTAAGCCTGGTAAATTACAATGGAATTTATAATATTTGGTTACTTCAAAATGAATATGTAAAGCCTAAAAAAAATTTGTTTTACACCTCCATGTAGAAAATTTGACAAGGCTTAGCAAATTACAGGAAGCGGGCAAACGAGTACAAAGTTTGTAAATAGAAAAAAAATCATTGTTTTCTATATTTACTGTTTTATGTTTTAAGAAAAATAACCAAAACTTAAGAATGGATTTGTATATAATAATAATAATATATATGCATATGTAATGTATTATAACTGAAATGTGAGGTGTATTTTACAAAATACTGGTTCACTAGAACAGGTCACTTTGTAAAGGCTAATTTTATACTCTTAGATATGGTAACATGACTACATGTGCGGCACATCATTGCAGCTTCTGTAATGTTAGTTAGGCATGGCTGAAAGATCAATGAAATAATAGATAAATATATATATATATATATAATGTTATGAGATTTAAGCTATTTAGACTAAATGTTGTGGTTTCTTGTTATAATTTGTAGTCGTTCTAGAACAAAAAAAGTATAATTTATATCTATATTTCATAATTTTTTATGTTGGTCATAAGGTTGGTAAAATCGACCAAGCCGGTACAGAGATAAAATAATGAAAATAACATTAAATATAAAGTTTTTTCTTAAAAAAAAGTTTGATAATTATCTGGAGGTTTAATAGATTTCACATGTGAAATTTGAAAATTTTCTGATGCATAAAAGTATTTTTAATCTTAAAATCAAAATTACTTTGCATGTTGGATAGTCAACATTCAGAAAGAAGAAAAATGCACAAGCAAATCATTACTTAAAAAATCTTAAAGCTTAATGATAAAAAAAATATTTTTTTTTACTAAAGCCTTGTAATGTTTATTAATAATCTACAAAATGTGGAGATACGCTTCATGTATTAACCCTATCACCACAGTTATCCTTTACTGTGCATAACACAAGTGTCTTACATTCAAATCTACAAAATGTGAAGATACGCTTCATGTATTAACCCTATCACCACAGTTATCCTTTACTGTGCATGACACGTGTCTTACATTCAAATCTACAAAATGTGGAGATACGCTTCATGTATTAACCCTATCACCACAGTTATCCTTTACTGCGCATGACACAAGTGTCTTACATTCAAATCTACAAAATGTGAAGATATGCTTCATGTATTAACCCTATCACCACAGTTATCCTTTACTGTGCATGACACAAGTGTCTTACATTCAAATCTACAAAATGTGGAGATACGCTTCATGTATTAACCCGATCACCACAGTTATCCTTTACTGTGCATGACACAAGTGTCTTACATTCAAAATTTTATTAAACTACTTTTTTGTTTATGTTATACTAATTAGTATAGTGTATTTTGACAGCTCTGTGAAACAGTCAAGTAGGGTGTCCTTGTCTACTTGGGCCTTACCTCAACTTCTAAATCTTGGTGTTGACAAATTAGCGGGTGTTATTACAAATGCAAGCTTCTTTTGTCCGTATAGTGCTGTCAGTGCAAACTTCCAAGTTTGTTGTCATATCTCCGGTTCCTCCAATTTTATTGTGTGCAATATCATTGGGAAAACCTCTCAATCACACCCTGCTCTGTTCATAATGTTTTCACCTTGTTGTTCAGTGCTATCCTGACAGGTGATTAAAGGTGTGTGTTTGCTGCTATTTATCAAGTATTTAATTCATTTATCTCTTTGTATCAGAATGGAAGTTTGTTCCCAAGTGGATGGTCTTCTTCTAACTGTATAAGCTGAACATTTGTGGGATTTATCAGCCACACCATAATCAAAAATATTTTGATTTTCTGTTTAAAAGGACTTATAATTTTTACACCATACTGAGTACTACATTTCAGATGTTTAGTCCATCCAAGTCCAAACTCAACTATAATTTCAAAGTACAAATGGTCAATTATACTAGCAAAATCAATCTCCGTATTTGATATGACACCTAGAGAGCTAGTAGTATGTATTTGTACATTAATGGCCCTTGGATTTCGATATTGCTTGTACATGCCTTGTATCCATTTCCTAAGACCTTTATTAACTTTTCTCCCAAAAAACAACAACAAAAACATGCATTTATAGACAGAATACTGATGACCAAAATTTTATGTTTTATAATTGTCTATTTTTGTGCTTGTACAAGCAATATTGATGGAACCTAACTTGGCAATGGCAGGTTTGATTTTCAATCTAAAAATTAATTTATACTTGGGAAGAACATAATTATAATTCACTTATTCTGGAATGAGAGAATTAAATATGTAAAGTACAATTCATCATATTTTCAAATATGGTAAAGCATGGGTGCCTCTTGCATACTGGCTGTTAAAATCTCTCAACTTTTTCTTGTGGTATCTATAGGTGTCTGAACTACATACTATACTTATTTTTTTGTAATAGCTGTCAAGGTTTCAAAGTAATGTAAATGACTTGCCAGTCATTGTTGATGTCATTTCTCTACATTACACGTTTTTTAGTCTAGTGATAATACATTTAAAGGTTGAATACATTGCTCTTAGGAATGGATCTCAAGTACTTAAAAAGCCTGGTAGAAATAATTTCATTTTCTTTCTAATTGTTTAATCATAAAATAAATATACATATTCTGAAAGGAAATTTCATGCTAAATACATTGGAAAAAACAGAATTTCAATTATATTTATTAAAAGTTGAGTTATAAGTCAACATACATTGTCATGAAACTTAAAAGAATACATCATAAAAGTGCAAACTGAAACATTATTGCAAGTAAAAAAAAAACAAGGTACAGTACTATAATAATGTACATTCTTTTGTACATGCTTCTAATACTTCATGGGATATTTTTTGGTTTTTCAACGCCATAGCAAACCTTTGTTGTATTTTGGCAACAAGCTTTTACTTGTCTTCTCTGTTGACCACGTAATTCCAAGAGGAAATAATATCCTTAATTGATTCACGTTTTGTTTTCAGATAAGACTTTTTAACATGATGTTGTATTGTCATCAACAAATCCTTTAACCCTCTCACTACTGGCAGGTCAAAAGTGTGCATATCATGGCTTTTAGAGAGTTACATTCAGAATGTAATTAAACTACTTTATTATTATTGTATACGAATAGACTTAGCATGAAAACATAGATTATACAAAGGAAACTTTAAAATTTTCATCTGAAGAAAAGTATTTTTAATCTTAATATGAAAATTGCTTTGCACATGGTGCAGGTCAACACTCAAACTCCATATATTCACAGACAATTTTTTAGTAAACCTACTTTACTAATAATTCTTAGTTTTCATTTACAAAATAATTGTAATGTTTACTGAAAACTTGAAATATTTTGTAAAGATACACAAAACATTTCAAAAGTTATTATATAGAAACTGATTGTTACTATGGTGTCATGAGATCACTGTAATCCATTGAACCCATAACAAGAGGGTTAATGAATAGTAGAAATAAAAGAATTTGTCATGATGGCATGGAGCATTGTGATTAACCATCTGGAAACAGTTGTTTTGTTGGTTTTCATTGAATCATTTGTGATAGACAAGGAACTACTACCACTGGCAGTCATGCAGGCCCATATAATTTACAGATGTGAGATGCTATGCCTCAATGTTGTTGCTGTGCAGAATGGTACTGTTCTTTTCAAATACAACATCTCATTTGGTGACCAGGAAATCTTGCAGAGAGTAAAAAACTCTAACAAAAAGCAAAAGCTCTTACATTAAATTTTCGTTCAGAATATGGATAATTAATTTATCATATGTTTGCAAACAAACTGTTATCTGACAAGTCAAAAACAAGAAAGAAACGTTACAAACTTTTAGGTTGTGTAGGACACTTACTGGATGCTTTAATTTCTGATGAGGATTTTCTTGTTGTTAATACTTGGCTTGAGTTTATATTAATTTCATTTAAAGTTTCAGAAGTATATTTTCCTAACAACTCGGCTGAGGATATGTAAGGGTAATGAACATGGTGGCCTACTCTAAGTCACTGTAAACAGTACGGTATTTCATTTTTTGAACCACAAAGCGAGTGATTCCTAACCTGGGGGTCCACAAGGGTAATACCATCTCATTAAACAAGTACATTTTTTAATATTGCTGTTTTTTAAATTGCACACTCAGTGAAAAATAGGAAAATGAGTTAATTATTAGTTAATAAAAACAGTTTGTTGGGTAGACAGAACCTTTCAAAAACATGGGATCTGTTGGGAAAAAACAATGATAAAAAGGGGGTCCTTAGTGGTGAAAAAGTTAGGAACCACTGCACTAGGCCAGTCATAGTTCCCAGTTTAACATAAACGTACATTAATATTAACTTATGATCACAGCAAGCTATGTTGTTAGAGAAAAACTGAAAGTCAACTTGACAATCAGTATAGCTAATCAAATACACCCTTATGTTTCTACTTGTAAACTTTAGAATGCATTGTTTCTCAAGGTTTGGCCAGCTTAGGAGATTTAGGTTAACCCTAAATACATTTATTAAGCTAACAGTACAAAACAATGTTTATTATGAAGTATACTAATAAAGAATAGAATTAAAATCTAATGACATTTAATACTTTAAATAAGTGTCTTCATCATTTTTATACCATACATGCAGCCCCAGAGTGTAATATTACAGCAGCAAATTGCGAAGAAATCACTGTGCAAGTGTATTAACCCATTCCTAGCCCTCAAGTTAACTGAAATGTATGTTTATAGTCATCTTGATGAAAAGCCCTAAATAGTTAACATTTAAAAGAAGAAAGATACTTTATGAAGTTCTTTGTCAACTTTATGATATAATAATAATAAGACAAAGATTGTGAAATTTTTGGTAATTCAATGTGTGTGTCTCTATAGTGCTCTGTATGAAATATTCATTAAATGGCTCAGAGGTAAACAGCATGTGCTGTATTTTTTTTTTTGTATAAAATGTGAGCACATGTGTATGATAATCATATGTAATCTTTCAAAAATCATTTGTTGTTTATTTTAATTAAAAAAGTTTGGCACATGTTTATTATCATTGTTTATTTTTATAACATATTGTATTACCACCTGAATGTATGTTTCGTTAATCAGTGACTTATAAAAATTTTCTAATTCAATATAACATGGTTACCACTTTTTGACTGTTAAGTAGTTAGCAAATTTGAATTCAAGGTCTATTATAGCAGCCAGTCCACACCATTATTGCACAGATGTTGCCTGTTTGTTGTAATATTCATGATGTGATGAATTACAAGTATCTTAGTTTGTTACATATAACATTTTATTTCCCTGAAAGGTGGCTAAAGGCTGTCTGGAAGGGTCACTTCCACCACTGTACAGTTGTGTGTGTGTTGTCCATCAGTCAGTCAGTAGACACTAAAAATGATGTCACATAAGGGATGCTTAACATTGCAATTTGTACTTTCGTGACATCAGTAGGATGTCCACATGCCATGAATCATGAGAAGAATTATGCACTCTGTAGGCTACAACATGACATATGAACTTCAAAAGCAAGAAATATGAATATTTGTTGCTCTTAATTTTATTTACTCTTGAAACAGACACTTTCTTGGACTTTGCATACGTACATCTAGTTTTTTTCTTATAAGCGTCTCTTAACATTTTAAGTTCACTTGCTTAAGTTACATATTTCAAGCTGCTAGTGTTTAAAATCTTTAACTGTTGAAGTTTTTGTAAGTTGTAGCAAGTTTTACCATAAGCAGTAACCAGATCTGATACATTTTAATTCACGCTATGGGTTTATGTAATTTGAAATGCCAAAAATTTGTCAGTCATTCACTTTTGAGAATTGTTTTTTTTTTTTTAATTGTCAAAATATTCTTGGCTCAAACATTAATTTCACCATTTTAATGTTGAGAAGAGCTAAAGAGAACTTAGTTAAATCAACTTGGGATTCTAGAGGACTCCTAACATTCTGAGCTAATAACAAGTGCTGATTAAAAGTTAATCATTCACTTTTAGCATAATATGGTGGACATATTGACAGTTATCAAATATCATTAAGTAGCAATGCATAATGATTATGTATGTATACATATTGCAAAAGTACCAAACATAAATATTACTTTGTTTATGACAAAACAAGTACTTTTGTAATCTGGGTATTGCCTGCATTATCATAGCTTTCTTTTCTTTATTGATGTCAAACACTTTTGCATTTTCATTATATTTTTGTAATATTCAGGAGAGCCTAAACCTTATGTTCTGATATGTTGTTGAACACCTAACATTCAGATGCATCAGACATAGGCATTAGTAAATATGTAACTTTCATAAAATTAATATATTAATAATAAAAAGAATGTATTAACTCTTGATATTATTTTCATTATAATTATTTTAATTAGGACAGTTGTGTTCTACAAAAGTTGGTTTAAAACTTGTTTTAAGTTCATATAAATATTTTTGTGTGATAATGTATTGTTACTTTTCCTTAAGAGATTTTTTGTTTATTACATAAATGAACAAATGCAGTTTAAAGCATGAGAGTATAAAGTGAACTTTCAAACCTTTTGCTATTATGCTAATGTTAAAATTACAGTTGTCTCATCCATAGTTAATTCTTTACAGAACATGATTTGTCTTTTTTTCATTCAAATTTTAATATAGTCATGTCATGAAAAATCAATTTAATATACATTTTTTCTTGTTTTGCTTTTCAGTTTAGATATTTTATGAATGTTTTATTCAAATCGGTAACATTAAAAGTTGATAAGTATTATTCCAGTGATGCATTTATTACTTATAATAATTTGGTTTTATTTGTGCCCACTTCACATCACATATATTTCAATACAAATTTCTTCCATTAAATTAGGAGTTATTTATAATGAGAAAATTTTGCAAAAAGAAAGATAGCTATAAAGTTTTCAAATAATGTATTTGTGTAGAGAGAGAGAAAGACTAAAATTAACACAAAAAGTGTCCAGAATGCATAATTTCATCATGGTTGCATCAACTCATCAAAATGTTGTATTTCATTTCTTAATGGCTGGTGTGGCCTTGTTGTTAGTATGCCATACTAGTTCATGGTTCTCATCCTGTTGCTACAAAATTGAGCTTTGCACTTTTGCACCATGGTTACATTATGAGAGTGATGGTCAAATGCCATCATTGTTGTCAATTCAAAATTTTGAACAACTAATGCAGATAGCCAATGTATAGCTTTTCACAAATATTCAAATTGAACAAACATGTGAAATATTGTGCTGAGATGTTTGATACATAACTTCTTTTTATAGAGCTGAAATTGCATACCTTATCTTTCTTTCCATACTGTGTTGCCCAGTCTGTACTATTGAATGATACTTTAATGACAAAAGAGGAAACACTAATATTTGTCTATTAGTTTGAGCATATGGTATGTGTACCTTATGTATGTATTTTGGAGCTAATTGACATTGGTAAATATTGGAATATGTTACTTTGTGTGTATTTGATTTGTTCTAAATCAGAAGTAAAGGTTAATTTCTGAAAACAGATGAATAGCGTGATCATGAACAATGAATGATATGCAAAATATTTATTCAAAAGTTTTGTTTATATTTTCAGGTGGTTGGGGATCGTACACAGTTGGCAGTGGCTATGAACAGCAGTATGACTCAGGTAGGTTTGTTTTATTACTTCCTCATTTGCCACTGCTAATCACTGTTCATTCTGAAAAGTAATAACGAAGAGAAAATAACAGTTTATTAACCCAAGTTTCATTTGTGTATAACTTGAATGTTATACTGATGAACATTAATTAGGGTAACTCAAATTCAAACATAAAACAGATAGATGCCTAAAAATCACCACTGTATATAAAAGAAAGGTTATAAATAGCTGAAATGACCATTGCCCGAAAGAAAAGCATAAGACTTCATAACAAGGTTTGATGCGATACGTATCTGTCTCAAAACTAATATTTACAGTTACTTGTGAAAAAGCTTGTAATAGCCTAATACTCGTATTTAATACACTTGAGTATGGGAGATAGTAGATGCAAGACATGCCATTTTGGGTGATTACTCTCACTTCACTACTGATGTGACTATTACTTCTGATACGGTACTTACCTCTTCTTACAAAATTAGGTATTCTCCTTCAGTGCTGCCCTCTATATGCGAACTTTTCATAACGCGTGCCACAAGCCTTGCGCATCCCCTTCTGTTCGAAATATTATGTTCCAACGTGTGTCTCATGCAAATCATCGTGTGTCATCTCTTAACCAATAGTAGCCCAGCCTGCTCACGTGACTCCCTCTACATTCTTCTAGCAAACCTTCACTTCTCGTTTAGCAGGGTTTGAGATCAGACGTTTTTTTTTTGTGCTAAAGCTTCCATGTGACAATGAAACACTTTTTTCCCACCAATAATGGTCTCTTTTTGAACTTTTCTACTATAAACCAGTTCGATTTGTTGCCATCTGTTTTGGGAAAACTTGATCACTTGTGAGTTCTGTTTTGCATTATAAATTCCGAAGTTTGCATTACCACTTCGGGAGTGACACCAACAACTAATGTTGTTTCTCAGGCCTCGGGTGCGGACAACCCAACAGAAGATCTTTCTGCTTTTATACGTCGGAGATTGAATGCTACATGATCAACCTTTGTCCCCTGACATCGCCCAGGCTCCTCCTGAATCGGTGAAAATTCTACATAATGACGAGGATTTGCTCGTCTTTTTCTGCCTCCAGAGTTTACCATTTTTTCCCACTTACTACCTAATTCTCTCTCTTCACGGATTTTGTCTCAGGTTTGTGATGTTTTATCCCTTTCCTCTATATCTTATTCCCCTCTACCTTTATATGGCTTTTTCTTCTCCCCTCCCCCCACCCACCCTCCTGAGAACCTTGAATCAGCATACCCTTTCTTACCATCCTGCTAGCTATCCATTTTTGGATCAGCAGTTGTTGGGTTCGTTGTTACCTCTTTGGGGGTGACTCCCAATTATAATGTTAGTTTTACCCATGTGCAATATTTTACCCTTTGTCTTACCCTAACCACCATTCCACAGCATCTTTCTTCCGTACATCTCCTCTTTGAGGCACAATCCTGAGAGTTTTCTGCAGATACCCTGCACATTCTTTCCTGGTTTCTTTGCTGTTGGGACCCTGTTGTTAGGGTAGTTGTATTGGCCCAATTCAGTTTACTCTCTTCATATCTACATGACTTACATCTTACTACTTTTTAGCGATGTCGTGTCTTTGGTACTGTCCAAGAAACTATCGAGTCTTGGGTTACATCAGCCCGTCAGCAATCCACCCTCACGTCTTTTGTTGCCCATTCAGTCTCATTACCCATTCCTGCTAGTTGGAGTATCTCTTTTCGTCAGTTTCCTCAATGATGAAACATCCATCGCCAACATTATCAGTGATTACCCTGTAGGTTCGGGGCCAATAGGAGCTCAACTGTTGGACTTTCTCTCTTGGTGGAATCCCTTTGTTGAGGATGAGTGGGTGATACGGGTTCTGTCAGAAGGATTTGTTTTCCAATTTCTTTCCTCTCCTCCTCTCTCTCTCTCTCCTTGTCCCGTTTCCTTTCTTCTTCCTCCAGATCCTGTGACATGCCAGCATCTGTCAGAGGTGGTTCAAGAATAGCTATCACAGCGAGCTATCAAACCAGTTGCAGATCATCTTTTGTGACTGGACCATGGCTATCCTATGGAGTGGACATTGGATCCTCTCCTTTTTTGGGACCTTTGCCATCATTAGAGTTCTCTCCAATTATTCCAAGTTGCCCTTCTTTTAGTCATGTATACTTCATCCTCTGGCCTTGGCAGTCTATGCTTTCAGCCAGAATTTGTCTCACAAATACCTGTATGTGTACCCTCCAATCCAGCTGCTACATTGGGTGATTTCTCTGGTCCATTCCACTTCTTACCGAGTCCTCCTGATAGCACTGTTTTGGCTAGCACAAGCTTGGTTTCCCAGGTTACAGCATCTGCTCCTGACACCACCAGTTCTTCTTCCTCTTTCTCCCTTCCTTTTTTGTCACCCTTGATCCAACCTCCTACATCTTAATCTCCCTGTCATCCGTCTTCATGCCTAGGTTTTTGTCTGGTTCTTGGTGAGAGGATCCGGTTTCACACGTCAAGTTGCCTCCATGTTAGCTGGTTCTTTATGACCATTATCTTGAGAAGTCTACAAATATAAGTGGAAAGTCTTCCACTGTTGGTCTGCTAACAGAGGATTTCCTGCTGACAAGCCATCTGTGGCTTATTTTATGAAATTTCTTCTTTGGCTGTGCGACTGTGGTTCTTTGGTACTCGCGCTTTCAGGGTATTGGGCACTCCTATCCCCTACATTTTGTTTTTCCAGATATCATAATGTCTTCCTTTCTCCTGTTCTTACTGGGCTCATGAGTTCCTTCAAGATTTGACAGCTGCCGAGATGTTTTGCTCTTCCAGATGGGACATTAATGTGGTCCTCCTTGTCCTCACTTTACCTCCGTTTGAATCACTTTCCCCCATGCTCCTTGTTTCATCTTTCCCTTAACTTATTTCCTCCTTCTGTTGGCCTGTGGTAATTGACAGTGGGTCTGTTTGCCATAGACGTATCATCTACCCTTTATCGCAATTGTTCCTTTCTACCTAAAACCTCAGCAGCTCAGGGTGGTTGTTCATCCTTTTCTCCTATTTCCCTGCCTTTTGTATCCCATCTTTACCCTTGACTGCATCTAGAGAGACATCTGTGTCCATTAACGGACCTTCATTGTTATATTGTATGTACTGCACTATTTTGGGGTATGTGCAACTGTCTATTTATCCCACGGGAATCCTCCTCCTCCCTTTCTGATCTTTCCCCTTCTACCCTTATGAATTGGGTCTGCCTTTTGGTTTGTTTTGCCTACTCTTCCCTGCTTTCTTCCTCCTGTAACTTGTTCCATGTTCCCTCCATGAAATCAGACATCTCATATTTTCCCTCGCTTCTTGTATTCATCATCTGATGAGGGAGATTCTCCAATCCAATATGTGGACCACTCCCAATACGTTCATCTCCCACTGTCTTCATTGTGTCGTGCTTTTCTCTGCATCAGGGTTTCGTCTACCACCTGTAGCCATTTTACAGACTTTGGTGTGATTTTGAATGGCAAGTTTTCTTCTCTTTTTTTTTCAGGGGCCTTTTCTCTCCCTTTTTATCACAGATCCCTCTCTGTGGTGAGTGGTGCCTGTCCAGGTACTTTTTAATTCTAAATCTGCACTGTCTGCCATGTTAACTCACTTTTTAGTCCATGGCTACACATGTTCACCGTTTAGATGGGGTGTTCCACAAGATCACTTGTAGGTGAATAACCTCTTGATGTCATTGCTTCATAAACATGCCCATCCTAGACCTTACCACCCATGGACTACATGGGTAAAGCAGAAGGGGATTGCTGCCCATGCCTGCATGAATAACCAGGTATGAGCTGCTTTTCAAAATAGGTTTTTGTGGTCACCCATTGCACTGTCTCTGATGGTGACATTCCTCTGGGCTCTCCAAAACATAGTCACCCTTTCTTCAAGTAGAGTATGGGAGTCCTTGTCACTTTCAGGTCCAAGCTGCTGGGGTGGTGGACCATGGAGGCACCCTCCTGAATGAGTTCCCCAGACCATTCAATTGAAAATAGGGCAGTGGTGTTCTGATGGTGTAGATGTGATGTGGCCTCCAGAGGAGTTGAGCCATTACCTTGCTGGTTGACGTGGCTTCCTGATCATTTTACAAACCAACACTGGAGTTGAGCTGCCTCCTAATTGGATGATGTGGCCTCCCACAACCAATAGAGTTGAGCCGTCACCTTCTGGTTGAAGTGGCCTCCTTATTGTTATTACACTCGATTTGCTCCGTCTGTGTCTTTCATCACTGCGTAGTTAGTGGATTGGTTCCAGTGCTCTCTTGGACTGTTCCTCATTCTTCTTACAGGGATGTTATTGTCTTTGGATGGTACTAGTTGATTCCATTTGATGGACATCCTGTCGCCATGGTATACCCAGATATCAGTGCGAGTCTTAAAACCCCCATTTTTGGGTTTGAGGTGAAGATGATATGATTCTCATCCTACCCCCGCGTAGATATCGGTGCCCCACTGGGAAGTTTTGGATGTCGTTGAATTAGCGAATATGGTCTGATTCACCATAGCCATTCTACACCTTACATTTCTATCAGTGTGCATGTACACAAGGGGGAAGATTATACCTGGCTAAAATGTTGTGCGGTTCCCCTCTTCGGATCTCTGTCTCTCAAGTTCAGAGGTATCCTTTGGACGCTTTAGGGGGTACTTCTTTTGTTCCCTCGCACCAGTCCCTCCTCCTTTTCAGTGTGTATGGTTCTAGCTAGGCTTGTAAGAATAGGTAAGTACCGTATCGGAAATTATAATTTTCCTATACTGAAAATGTATTTCTGATAGGTACTTACTTCCTCTCACACTTCCCACCCTTCCTCTCCACTTTCTGGTGCTCGTGCTTTCTGCCGAACTTCAAAGTAAAGGTTCAGTAGAGGAAGTCACATGCTACTATTGGTTAAGAGATGACACATGATGATATGCATGTGAGACATATTGGAACATGATATTTCCAACAGAGGCTTGTGGCGTGCATTATAAAAAATGTGCATATAGAAGGCAGCACAAAAAAGAATAGCTAAGCTTGTGAGAGGAGATAAATACCTATTGGAAATACATTTTCAGTATAAGAAAATTATAACTTTTTTCATAAGCATATTTCGGTATCAAAGTGTGACCTTTAAAGCTTAGGCCCGTGTTGGTGTGATTTCTAAAAGACCATAGAAAGTCATCTAAAATAGTCATATTTTATCTTAACTATAAAAAGACAAATAACGAGGAAATATTTTAAACCATATTATATGTCTTGTTTATCTGTTTTTAATACATAATAATCATCATCACATGGCTAACAAGTCATATTTAAACTAAATTATAGGCATATCCATCTTTTTTAATCAAAATTGCATGATCATTGTGGATTAATAACAGGAAAAGGTTTTGAAAAAAATAGTAATGCAATACTTTTTATATGAAAATGATGATCTTTATACATAGAATAGGTCTTTAGAAATGATTATATAAATTTTATTTTATGGCAAAATGTTAATGTTCATTCAAAGTACAGATTTAACACATATGGGCATATACATAAATATATACTGTTTATTTTATCTGTGAAACTTAGTTCTTATATAACAAAAATGTCATAAAAGCCATAAAAAGTTCTCGAATGTACATGAAAATAAATGTAATTAAATATCACAAGTATGTTAGTTGTTTAGAACTTTTTTTTTTCTGTGGGAGAAACAGCAAAGAAAAAAAACAGTATCAGCTCTTTAAAAACCTGTGCAACAAATGTCTTTCATTTGTAGTTATTTTATTACTGTGTCCTTTTCCATATACTATCTTTGTTATTGGTTATAGTTTTCTCTGATGTCACCAACTTATTTCTATAGGTGCCAGCAGGGCCCCTAGTGATGATCGTTATGGTTATGGCAACTACAGAGGGGCCTCCTCCTATGACAAAGCACGTGATAATTGTAATGATACATCAGCTGGTTATGGTCCTTCACGTGCAGGAGGAGGACCCTTTCCTCCGCGTCGATATTAAACAACATTGGATCATTCTCACGTTACCAAAAGAAGTTCCGACATTTATATTGTCTACATGACACTCAAATGTTTCTGCACAGCTAAAAATAATAGTAAAAAAAGTAAAATGTAACTCGGTATGCCAACATCTATGACAGACTTTTCTGTCATATGGTTTTTAATTCAAAATGGACATGAAAGACAACATTTTTATTATCATGGTTATTAAAAGTGATGACTTTAAACCTATGTAAATTTATGTAGGGGGAAAAGAAGTGTATGTTTCTGAACATGAGTAGTGTTTAGCAATTAAGTGCATCAGTATCTTTGTTCATCTTAAAATTTTGATGTCTGTAATATTTTAGGCTTTCACCTCCCATCTGTTTCAGTATAAACCATATTTAACTGTAGATTTTGATTGTTTATAAAAGAAAATAACAGTGTTGGAGTTGCTGAATTACAGTACATTATGAAATAATTGATTCTTTGAATAAATTCTCAGTAATGTGTTTTTATGATTTTCCAAATGGGGTTGTGTAGTCAGCATAATACTTCCTTTGGGTGAACCTAGATCTGTGAATCAAATATACCAGTTAAAAGTATTTCTAAAGGCAAGAAATTTCATGAAAAAAATCAATAAACAGTCAGGCGTAATGTACTTTTCTGAAAAAATACTGCCATTTACAACTGACTTTAACATGCAGAGTCAAAATATAGATTCTAGTTTTATTTTGGATCTATGATGTTTGAGCATAAAAAAGAAAGAAAATTCAATGTAAATTAAAAGTAAATGCAAGAGTAAATTACTTCAAATATAAATTTAAATGCATATAATTGACCATATTTTAATCTAATAAAATTAATGCTTGGATTTGTTTTTTAAAATTACAATTTTTTAGCCTAAAGCGTATAAATATACATTTTAATTTGCTTAACATTTTGGAATATTTTCTCATAAAAAAATTTCTGCCTATTTACATTTCACTTATGAATGTGCACAATTGGTCAATTTTCAAAACACTGTGCCTAAATTTTGTTGAAAGTGAATTGCTCAAAGTATCAAATAATCAAAACACGTTATTCAAAACATCTTTAAATTAATAGTTTACCTTACCTTTTTAATTGAAGAGGTCAGTAGGAAGGTCAAATGTAAAAATATAATTTTTGATCAGTTTTGAATCCTTAATGTATATATATATATATATATACTCCATATGTATACACATTTTTCATATAATTTTTTAATATATTCACAACCACAATTTGAGAATATGTTATCAAAGATCAGATCACAACTTTTTGCAGTGTTCTGATTTCGCTGCAGGTAGCTATTAGCAATATGATTAGCTTCAATACAAGTTCTATAAACATCTGTACATCAAAATCTATACAAATACTTAGAACAGGAAGACTTGTGTTAAAAAAAGACACTCAGAAAATTGTGCAGTGTTTTATGTTGAACTTTGACCTTCTGTCTGACCCCCTCACTCCTAAGCCGATTCCATTCATACTTCAGAAATTGTTATTGAGATATATTATGAGAACTTTCAGTCAAAAGTACTGTAATATCTTGAATTTTCATGGTCTTCTAATGTAGACAGACTCATACTCTTAAGTTGGCTCATGGAAATTGGGTACCTTGGTGGAGAAATATATGCCTGCTGCACAAGTATTAATGAAAATGTGGCAACATATGAATGAATACATTTACTTTCAAACTAGCACCAATTTGTAGCAGTTCCATTTAGAACCAATCTCCATAGCTTAATGCTAGCCCTCCATTTTGGTTTTATTAAGGCTTGTGCTGCTTTTCATTGCAGCTTCAGTTTGAATTATGAGTACACGCACCAAAATGTTAAGAAAAAAAGCAAGAACTGAGATGCAAAATTATCCAAGTGTTTATTAAAATATCTTAATGTTAATTACCCAATGTGTAGTTTTATTCAAATTCGAAGTTGGTAGCCATTATTAGTAATGACGTCTATGTGACAAAACATAAGTGCTATTGATATATATATATATATATATATCAGGGAAGTACTGCACATGACTGTAACCATTATACATATATAGAAAAAAAAAAAGAAAATGGCTGTAAATATGTGCAACTAAAACCTATTAATTTAGGCATACACATATTTATAAAGTAGATCAGCAGATGTGGATAATAACATCGTACTGGTGTAAAAAAGTGTTTTGTTGAATGTGACATTTTGGGAAAATCTTTAAGTTGAATAATTATGAAATAATCAAATCAATAGACAGTTAATACTTTACTGTTTACACTCTGTTATCCTTGTAATATAATTTTTATCCAAATTTATACTACGTTGGTTGAAAAGGATATCTTCAACTTCCTAAAAATAATTTTCGCTAATTTGAATTTATGTAATGCTGTATGATATATCTGATATTCTTAACTCAATGCTGAGGGGACTGTTTCTGACATCTTGTCTTTTAGTCACCCTCTATTTTTGACATAGACAGTACTTGAGTAACTTATTATGTGTGGGTCCCTCAAGTTTGTGAAATGGAATAAACAAAAAAAACCAAGTTGAAACTGCAAAGCCATCTAACTGTCATAAGATAACTTTGCTAGTGAAACATTTAATTTTTGAGAAGAAAAACAAATTTTAGTCTGAAATATTTATCAGAAGTAAGGTTATTTTCTTTGTTTTGTAGTGGCTAAAGTTGTCTTGCCACAAACAGTTTAGCTTTTAACTTAAGCTAAACAAGTAAACTCAATGCTCCACAACAGTCAGTAATTTTTAATGACTTGTAAAAGTGGTTATACAGGAATGAATAAAAATATTAAAATTTCAGTTCTGCAACAAAGTGGTTACTTTTGTATGATGTGTGTTCATTGTTACAACATTTTATAAGGATGAACAGGCAGAAAGTTGTACTCTGATTCATTATGGAAGTTTATTCCTTTGGTGATTGCAAGACCTGTGCTGGTCTAACTTAACAGAAGTTCATTAAATGTGTTAATATCAAAATGTTTTTTGTGGCATTACTTAGTATTTTCTAGTATCTTAAAAAAAAATTCAAATCTTTTTAACTTTGAAAGCATATAACAGCTCTATAGTGTTAAGTTTTTAAAAGTTCTTAAGTCATCATAACTTTGGGGAGAGAATGAGATATTGTGTGAGATCCAGATTTGGGCTAAAAACTTGAGCTGTTGGTATGATTATATTTATTACAGGAAAAGCTGAGGAGAACTAGGTTTCACCAAAAATGCACATTTTTATCATATACTAAGTATTATGGTCAGGTTAAACATAAAGTGAATTACTCTTGTGAGAAGTGAATAATGTCTTACACTGTTTTTGGTTTTGATGAATCATATCTGTGTAGAAACTTTTTTCTTAAGCTTTCCTTTTTCATGTCCTCAGTTTTCTAGAAAGTAGAGCATTCTGTTTGTTACATTAGAGTACTAAATTAGCCTTTTAACCTTGAAAATAAGTAAACACTTTCTTTTCTGGTGTCTTCATCATATGTGTGGCATTGTTTGAAATTAAATACTTCTTGTTGGTTTCATGCTTCCCTTCAGCCAAGTACTTGTTCTAAAGATTGTCTTGAATGCAACAGACTTCGCTTTTTATTTATTTCATCAGTTTTGCCAGGATGGTAACTAGCAAGAGTGGAGCCAAATGGTGATTAGAACTTAGAATAATTTTTGTTTTGTACCCCCATTTTACAGGATATTATAAGAATAGTAGAATAAAATGTATTTTGTGATAAAATATACATTTTAATTTTTCTTCCAAACATTAAAGCTTTAAGTAATTCTTTAAATGGAACTGAATCGTTAAAAGGTTTATTTTAGTACTCAGTCCTCTTTCTTTCTCTCTCTCTTTGTATTACGTGTGAAAAGTATAACTCCCTATTCTGAAGATTGAGTAGTTTAGTATCTTAAATTTGACAAGTCACTGGTCAGATTTGCTTTGTGAAATCTAATTTTTTCTAAAAATGAAGATGACAAACAACTTTAGATAAATGTTTTTAATTCTACCCAACATTTTGGCTTAGAGCTTTTTCAAGGGTATATGAATGTCACGGGTTACAAAACTGATTTTAAATTATAATAACCAAAAATAATATAAAACTATAACCATATAATGGAATGGTGAAGCATGCCAAAAGTATTGTTGAACATATTAGTCACTGATCATAAATGTAAATGTTAAAAAATAAAAAAATCTTATATGAAATAATAATAGATTTATATTGACCAGGCATTGTATCTGTTTATGGAAAGGCACTTGGATTGAATCAAAAGAGATTTTTTAAATTTCCAGTAAAAAATTGTCACAAATATCGAAAATTAGATCTGATAAGGTGTTCCATTAATTATTCTCTGTGTGTTGATGTAATGTTCAGCAGTGACTTCTTTGTTTTCAAGATTTGTAGTGGCATGAATCTGTTCTTTGAAGTTATCATGTATTGGATGACTGGATTCACCTACGTATGTGGCTGAACACTGTACTGTTTGTTGAAATCTTCTGAGTAAAAATTGTGGAATGTCTTAGTAATGTAACTATTATGGAAAGCTTTTGGACAACAGCAGCTTTTGAAGTTTCCACTTGTTTTGTGTCTTGCTGTCCATAGTATTACATATTTGTTTTCACTTCTATTACGTTGACTATTAATGACACTCCATTTGGTAGCTAGTGGATGGTGTGAGTTATAGTGTAGAATATTGGATTTAATACATGGTTTGGAATATACAGTAGTAATAAATTTGCTATTTTCAGTAGTGACCATTGCATCAAGAAAGGATATAGACTTCCAGACATTAGCAGTATAAGTAAGTGCGAGCTTTATGTTGGGGAGTTGATTATTAAAGAATTCAACAAATTCCAAAAGAGAAAGTAGCCCATGATTCCATATACCAAAAGTGCCATGAGTATATCTATATTGCCTAGCTGGTTCAAGATTAGTTTCAAAATTTCCACTGAGCAGGAACTGATGATTCAAAGAAATGCATAAAAGTAGAGACCAAATTGATAGCAATATTGTTTCCCATAGCAATCCCTTTTGTTTTGTTTGAAGAGAGCTGAATTGAATTTAAAATAACTATTGTTGAGAACAAATCTGAGAGCATTTTTGTTGAGTTCTATTGGGATATCAATGGGAATGGAAGGGCAGATATAAGCAACATCAAGAATATTTTTTTTAGGATAGTGTTTGAATTCATTTGTAAGCCATCTTTGCAGAACCTGTTGAGAAAGTCATCAGTGCTATTTAAATGTGAAGATATTTTGTTAAGGAGAGGGTGAAGTAGCTTTAAGAGTATCCAAGATACGGATGCCAATGGAGTGTTGCGTATGGAGATTATGGGTTTTATGTTGTGTCAGATTTATGATTTTTGGGTAATCCATACAGTTTATGGAGTTTTGAATAAGATGGTCTAAGACTGTCTAGAAGTTGCATAGGTACAGTTGTTCTACTTTTAAAGTTCTTCAAAATGTCTATTATTTTTCCCAGTTTTTTGTAGGGTCTTTGTTGAATGGTTCATAACTAGATGCATTCTCAAGATGCACCTTAATATTTTTTCTCACTTTCACAATTGCTCATTTTTTTTCTTAACTCATTGATGGGTAATGTGTGTGTGTAGTTGTTGTTGTTTT